ACAAAACGCTTCACCAGCCCTAATTCGAAGAGCACTTTAACTGAGCTATAGAATGATCTTTTGTTATTGTCAGCTTAACTTGAAAGAAATCTAAATTGATCAACATAATGTTCCACTAGGAAACCTGCATGCTTACCAAATTTAACTGTACCAAGCTCAGAGTTCAGCTTCAAGGGAAGAGATCACCGTAAAGTGCTTTTGATGTTCTGAACGTTCAGTTTATACGTATCAACTCGTCCATCACGTGATAGACACGAGTAAGTTCTCATTCTATCTCGACGATTGCTGATTGGTCCATTGTGAATCACCTGATTTTCTTACTTGTTTACATCTAGTGCTAAATTTCGTTCCACCTCAAGAAACCGATGAACTTCTTGCTTTACTCGGAATTGAATATAAATAGCTCCACACAATAGAAATACCCAATATCACTGAGCCTAAATTTCTCGGGGCTCTCTGATTGGCCTATTGCGAAGTCACCTGATTTTTTTCATTTGTTTGCATTTCAACATCTAACAATAATGGTAATGAAGGTCAAAACTCCTTGGCGTAGTTATTGAAAACATATTCTATATCCAAATATATTACAGAATATCATTTTTTTGCCAATTCAGGCGTAAACACAGAACCTCTCCTCTAACAATGTTAGTGAAACAAAACAGTCGTCTGGGTAATTTTTACAAAGCGCACAAAATTCGACATTGTTTGAAGGAGAGAGGGATTTTAGTAATACTGCGATAAGTGTTCCAACACTTTTAATCTCCCTTGTAGATTTTTACACTCGGCATGCTCGGTTTTCAAGACAGGTTTCAACAAGTTTTCTAATTTTTTTGGAGAATCTTAAGATTTTTAATGTAACGACTTACTTGCACGGAGGAGCTGAGAGTGCCACATCAAAGCAAAAAATACAATATTTAGAGACATCGCATCGCAATAAGTTGACGAGACACAGACACCGCGTTGCTTCTTATACTTGCACATCAGTCATACATGATTTGCACACCTAACTGAACAAATCACAAAGCCATTCTGTATA